TACATATTACAACTCAAGAAAAGGCAACGCAGTACCACATTGGAGCACAACGACGTGTAGCGTTCCCACTACTAGAACCGTTGAAGATAGAACTAGAGCGTATGAAAAAGATGGGTGTTATCAAAATAGTAGATCAACCTACAGATTGGTGTCATCCAATAGTAGTTGTGAAAAAACCAAATAGACTACTTCGTGTTTGTATTGATTTAACACAGTTAAACAAACACAACAAACGTAAATTCTATGAACTGCCAAGTGTAGACGATACATTTGCCCAACTTGGACAGATGTAAATATATGGCAAAGTTAGACGCTAACTCAGGATATTGGCAGTTACCAATGGATATTGAAAGTCAGTTAAAATGTACATTCACGACACCTTTTGGTCGGTTCTGCCCAACAAGGGGGCCAGTTGGATTAACATCGCTCCCTGAAATTTTTTAGTAAAAAAAATGGATCAAGTTATTGATGGTTTAAAAGAAGTGCTTAAAAGTATGGTTGATTTCTTAGTTTTTGGAAATACAGAAATGGAATATAATGAAAACCTTGTAGCACTGCTATATAGATTTGCTGAAAATGGAGTTACCCTTAATGTAGAGAAATGTTTATTTGATCAAACTGAAGTGGAGTTTTTAGGTCATAAAATATCAGCACATGGAGTAAAACCATTGACCAAAAAAGTTGAAGCGAAAAAAAATTTTCCGAAGCCAACAAACATTACGTCTTTACGTAGTTTTTTAAGCATCAGCATGGTTTTGGAATTAAAATCATACAAGAGCATTCAATGAGGTAAAAAACAGTTTAACCAATCCACCTATTTTGGCGCACTACAAAGTTAAAAAAAAACTGTAAAAGTAAGAACAGGTGGAAGTTTATTAAATGGACTTAGCGTAATAGTTTACCAGAATCATAATGGTATATACAAACCAATTGAATGTGCATCTAGGTTTCTTACGACAACTGGAAAAAATTATTATCCGATTAAAATGGAAATGTTAGCAGTAACATGGGGGTGCACACGAGTGTCTAAAAATTTGTAGTGTCTAAATATTTTACCAAATTTTATATTAGAAACAGATCACAAACCATTAATTCCAATATTAAATTATCGTTCACTTATTAATATGTCTCCACGAATTCAACGTTTAAGAATGAAGTTTTAAGATTTTCATTTACTGCAGAGCATGTTGCTGGCAAGTCTATTACTGATGCAGATGCAATGTCTCGTGCACCTGTATCTAATCCTACAAAAGAAGATGAGATTGCAGAAAATGATCTGAATGTGTGTATTAATTCTATAATAAAAAGTATGCCTGCTACAGAGTGTCGTTTAGAAGAAATTAAGCAAAAAAATACGGAAGATAAACTTTTAAACCAATTGCAAGAAAGTATAATTTCTGGATGGCCAAATTCAAAAAAATACTGTGTGGCAAATATCCAACCTTATTGGGATTTTAAAGATGAAATAGTTAAAATTGATGGACTCTTATTATATCAGAATAGACTAATAATCCCAGTTAGGGATTATTAGTCTATTCTGCGTAAAGAAATTCTTTCAAAATTGCACGAAGGTCATTTGGGAATGGAGAAATGCAAACGTCGTGCACGTCAGAGTGTTTTTTGGCCAGGTTTAATCAACCAAATTGAACAGTTAATTATTAAACTTTTAAACCAATTGCAAGAAAAAAAAAAGTGCGAGGCATGTATGAAGTATCTCTCATCAAAGCCAAAAGAACCTATGCTAATTCCTAATGTCCCAACACGGCCATGGCAAAAACTGGGAACGGATTTGTTTCAGTGGGCTAATAAAAACTATTTAATTATTGTCAATTATTATAGCTTGTGGACTGAGGTGTTTCTGCTTCCAAATACTGATCAACAAATGTTATACAAGCAAAGTGTTTCGTCAATTCTCTCAACAGTGGCAATTTAAGCACATAACAAGTAGTCCACACTATGCACAATCAAATGGTTTAGCAGATGCAACTGTAAAGTCAGTAAAACTGTTGATAAAGAAATGTTATATGTCGAATGAGGACATTTATAAAGGTATCTTAATTTTACCTAATACTACAATAAAATGTGGTTTATCTCCAGCGTAACTATTGCATGGACGTCAACTGAGAGATAATTTACCCAGGTTTCGATCTCAAAACAAGGAACAGTCAAAATATTCAAGAGAAATAGTCAAAGAGAGAGTTCAAAAATATCTAAAATCTAAAATCTAAAAAATCTAAAAATCTAAAAAATACTATGATAAAAATATTGGTGTTTTTAAACCATACGTCTATTGACAAGGTCAAACTGTTGCAGTTCAAAACGAAGTAACTCGTGAATGGAGTCTTAGAGGTAAAATAATGAAATGTGTTGCCCTTAGATCATATGAAGTAAAATTAAATCACAATGGACATATCCTTCGTCGAAATCAGATTCAACTTAGAAAAGTTTACGCTATATCGGCTCAAGATTTTTCTGTTTAGTGCATCTGGAATTTCTTTGCAACAAGCCATGGCAAATCTCCATGTGATGGAGTAGGTGGCACTGTTAAAAGACTTGTTTCAACTGCTAGCTTGCAGAGTTCAACAACAAGTCAAATACTATCTTCTCAAGCAATGTTTGAATACTGCCAAAAGTCAATCAGTGGGATTAGGTTTGCGTACGTCACTGCTGAAGAAATGGAGCTAGTAAGAATCAAACTTGCTGATAGACTATTAATAGCAACCACTATTCCTGGGACAAGAAGTTTCCATCAATTTATACCTTCTTCTCATTCAATAATAAAAATAAAAAGGGTATCCGATGATGATGATTTTGCTCTAACATTTGACTTCCTCAAAAAACAAAAATACGAAAATAATAAAGTTGAGAATGTTATGATGTAACAATACCTATTATGAAAATACAATGACTTTTACTGGCTTGGAATGGTTTCTGAAGTTGATAAAGAGAACGACGATTTTATGGTAAAGTTTATGCATCCAAATTATACAAGCTGGTTGTACTACTGGCCAAAGCGAGATTATAATTGCTGGGTGCCAAGAATGATTGTCATTTCTCTTGTTAAAACACCGTCAACATCTTCTGGGCGTCAGTACCACATCACAAAAAAAGACGAAACTCTATTTGAACATCTTTTATCTTGTCAATGAAAGTTAATGAATATTTTACTTTCATTATTTAAATTATATAAACTTCAATTTTAGTCATATTTGGTTTATTCTTTTTATATTTTATTTTTGAGCCTTTTTCAATAAAGCAGATTTTTTGCTATTTTTTAAAAAGTTTTGCATTTTAGTTTCTTTTTTTTTAACACAACAATACCCTATCGTTAGACATAAAGTAATGTTACATTAAATTATTATAATTTGTAAATAAAGAAATTATATTTTCAATGTGTTGTATAGTAAATTGTATTTCCATGTGTACTTTTGAAAATATTGATTATAAATATGAAAATTATGCAAAACAATAAAAAAAAATTCTTTTCTTTTAGAAACCTAAACTTTTTTAAGACCTCTTATTTCACAATAAGGGTAAAGCAACTTCAGAAATAAGGAAAGGTAAACCATGGTTAAGAAATAAAAAAATTTAACTGTTGATATTTTAAAATTAAAAATTTATACTTAAATACTATGAATAGGGTTCATTTATCTTTATCTTTGTATTTAATACCTTTAAAATTGATAAGGTACCAATTTTCAGTTATATTTCTCCACTAGAACTTTAATTATTCACACAAAAAGTATCACTATAAGTCACACAAAAAGTATCGATATAAGTTTTAAAATGACATATCTTAATAATTATTGAAGAAACCAAAACCATCTTTTTTATAACAATAGCCTAATATCACCTACTTTGTTTGAAAAACTTATAGCCTAATATCACCTACTTTGTTTGAATCCACGAGACTTGGGCAACTCCGAGAGTTGATGAAAGCGCAACCCATGGTAACAGAAAAAAAAGTTAGACTGTCCATTTTAAAATCAAAAAATAACCATAAAAAAAAATTAAATTTCTTAATTTGCTTTACATTTTTGAATTCAGCACCCTCAAAAATAGTTAGATACCCCTTTTTAGCCACATTCTTCTACTAGATTTTAAATTATTCATTAAAAAGTACAACTGCAAAATCCATAATGGCAAACTTGGCAAAAAAAGGAACGTTTTAGGTTGAATTTCAAAACGTCATAACTTTTGAACAATTTGGATTTGGTAACTCAAATTTTGCATTTTTTCATGTTTCATTATAATGTACCACTGTCGCAGTTTTACATGGAATGACCCATTTCCATTAAACCATATTAATTAAATTTAAACAATCCCATCACTAAACCGTACAAGATTAATTAATATATGTATATAAATATATATATATATATATATATATATATATATATATATATATATATATATATATATATATATATATATATATATATATATATATATATATATATATATATATATATATATATATATATATATATATATATATATATATATATATATATATATAGGGGAGAGTTTTTATTTTCATTACTTTCAAGATCAAGTTTTCTTTTTCTTGTCATGAAGATCTTATTTTGCATTTCATGTTTTTTATTTTTTGACTGAGATTTTTTTTTATTTTATGAAGCTTATTTAACTCATTTTGAATAGGATTGTCTGTGAGTATTCGAGTACGCTAACCTTTACGTCCTTTAATGGATTTTCTTGATCCAGCTTTTGGAAATGGCCTAATTTTTTCTAGACTTGCTTGATGAGAGATATTATTAGAAACACTGAGTAGTTGACTTCCAGGGTTAGATATAGGCTGAATAGGCAATACACTACAAGCTGAACCAGATGACAGACTTGACATCAATTATTGATTAAAAGCTGGGGCATGAACTGGATCAACAATACCTAGAAAAGGGTTAGCAGTAATAGGTTCTGGACGGTCTGTTACATATGATGACAAAAACTCATTATCAGAAAAAATGTTAGGATTAAAGGGTTCAACTCCTGCCAGCAAATCCTGCAGAAATGTTAGACAAAGTAAAAGCTTGTGCATAGGTTTTCCTTACAACTGAAGCTATATCATATATGGTCATCGGTCTTGGATTAGATACAATCCAATCATCACAGGCTGCATTGTAATAACGTTTCAGTGGCCCATAAACTGACCAATCTAATGGCTGCAACTTGTGACTACAATGTGGTGGAAAAGACAGCATAGTTATGCCATTTTTTTTAGCCAAATCTAAACACACAGTTGAAACATGGTTCTCGTGGTTGTCAAGAAGTAAAAGCACTAGATTAGCTGGTGAACATTTAAAATTTTGAATAAAATATTTCATCCACTCTAAAAACGTTGCAACATTCATCCAACCAGATGGGTTTGCAACCCCAACACATCCAGGTGGACCACCATTTATCTTACTTCTTCTGAAATGAACTCTTGGAAAAATAAAAAATGGAGGGATTGAGTTTCCTATTGCATTGAGTGCACAACAAACTGTTACCAATGTCCCTCTTTCTACTGAAGTTATCCTTCCAACTTGTTTATCTCCTTTTTTAGCAATTACTTTAACTGGTTTTTGAACAGTTGTGAGACCTGTCTCATCAACATTATATATGTTTTGTGGCTGAAACTTGTGTCGTAGATGAACATCTTTTAAATTAGTGAAAAATTCTCCGACTGTATAACAATTAAAAGCAGTTGCTCGTGCCATACTAGTAGCTTCTGGATTTCTTAAAGATAACTCATTTCTACGTAACATAAAACCACGAAGCCACTGTTTCCCAGCAATTTGTAAACTTTTCCACGATTTAGGAATGCGCTTAGAAAGAGTCATTGCAAATTCATAGGCAAGTTTTCGTGTTGTTTTGGTTGATAATCCATAGTGAAGTTTTGAGGCCCTTAAAAGATAATCTGATAAAGATGTTTCTTCTTCGTTGGTAAAGATTTGCATGGTAATGAAGTTAGGTTTGCAGACTGTATATGGATTTAATTGACATTTTCTTACATATCTCTTAAGTGTCATTAAATTGATTCCCCTCTCTTTAGATACACGATAAACTATACTACCATTAAGAACTGCATTAACAGCTGCTCGCATTTCATTCTCATTAACTTTACCTTTAGTTGGTCTATTGGTTTTTCGTTTTTTATGATACACCATATTTAACTGAAAAAAAAATGCAACATATTTATATAGTTTTGCTATATTCCTAATTTTTGGATAAACATTTATAAAGATTTTTACTTACTAAAATCTTCTTTATTAACAAACACCCACAGATATATATATATATATATATATATATATATATATATATATATATATATATATATATATATATATATATATATATATATATATATATATATATATATATATATATATATATATATATATATATATTGAATACTTTACAATTATATTATATAAAAGTTTTAGGAGAACAAAAAAATACAAAATAGTATAAAATCTTCATTTTAAGGCTTTATTGTAGAAGAAAAAAAAACATTTAAAAACAATATGACGTATTGTACATGTTACTTTAAAAGTTAAACATTTTGTGTGTGTGTGTGTGTGTGTGTATGCACCTTTGATCATAGGATCAAAGGTGCATAAACGCATTAGGATCAAGGGTGCTAACCCACTCCATTTTTACAAAAATTCTTTTTTGGTCAAATTAGATGCTTCTATAGCTTACCAAAAGCAACCATACAAGAGGTGAATAGTTAAGTTACAAAATGACATAAGCAAAATTATTCAACTTAAAAAAATATTAAAGATGCGAGGTTCCTTGTTAAAGTAAAAAAAATACTATTTTTTGTCAAAATCAAACTATTTAGAAATAAATTTAATAGTGGTCTATTCTTTAACCAAAACACAATTAGTTTTGAAGATACAATATTTGTAACACGCTGGTTATCAGCCCCCTTTAATAAGTTATGTAAGTATGGAGATAACGCTATAGGATCAAAGGTGCTTACGAATCAAGGGTGCAAGTTCTCCCCTATATATTATCATAGGCCGTGGATAGAGTGCCGAAAGTCGAAACTCTATTGAAATATGCTTATAGTGCCGGAAGCCCGTTCATTGGTTAAAAGAAATCACGTGCCAAAACAAATACCAATCATTGGAAAAATATTTGAACTATATATTAGAAAAATTTCATTTTATTTATACATTGAAGTTGTTAACTAGTTTTGCATTTAAAGATATTTTTTTATCATTTGAAGATTTAAAATCTACTATTAAGAAATATGTAGATTCTCATTATGTGCAGTTATGGATTCGTGACGCAAAAAATGGTCTTATGATCTCTTTCATTGCGCATTGATGTCAGAACAACATAGAATTTATTAAGAAAATTTTCTAAAGAGCTATTGCAGTCAATGACTTCTTTTAACTTTCCATTGAAATTTTTTAGCCGGTTATTGGTGATGTTCATGAGGTTTCCGAACACAAATTTTAGACCAAAAACCTACTCATCACGAACATTTTGCCAATTGTTGTTATAATAATCTATAACAGTGGATGGAGCTGATGAAACAAATAGTCTATATAGTTCGTCATAATTTTTCTCTGAGGTTGCATAGGCCAATTTCTGAATAAACTCCAGAGATGAAATTCTTTCCCAATTATAATCCCAAGCTTGGCAGTTGTAGTTTCACGACTAAAAGTTCTGAAAGACATGATGGTGTTGGCATATTAGAAAACTCAAAATTTATTAGATTCTGTAGATAATCAATAAATATAGGTAAAAATTAAAAAAAATTGTAACTAGAAACAGAACAAGAGAATATTCCTTAATTAAAAATTAGTGACATTAACAATGACTATTACCGATAGGTGTGAAATAAACAGAGTAATAGAGATACCCCCGAAAAAACACAATGCAATACATCTCTCTCTTTCAAGTCTTTTTCTGTCATGAAAACATTTGTTTTTGGCCAAGAAATATTATAACTCTTGAATCTTTCAATGAACCAACTAAAAATTATGTATAAAAAATTTCATAGCTTTTACATAGTCTATTTTCTATGTATATTTTTTGTAATAGTTTTTTTGTGTGTGACTCAAGAACACATAATACTGTCAGATGGTTTTATTTAATATTAGTTTTATCTGTTATAAAGTAATTTCATTAAAGCCAGGTATAGTTAATAAATCATACCTCAGAGATGCAGCATCTTCACGTGCAAGCAAACCGACAACTATTTCACTTTCACCAATGAAAAATATTTGTAGTAACAAGCTAATTTCAAAAATCAAACAAACAAAAAAAAACAACAGTAACCAAAGTCAAAATTAGTAAATAAAGTTATAAAAAGAAGCAGTCGAAACTTACTAGCTCCGCTTTCACATAGCAAAATATACACTGGTAAACGAATTTCTAATATTTTATAAGATGCATCCATGCATAAAAATTCAGGATATGCATTGTAAACACTATGCATTGAAATGTCTTGGAAAAAAAGCCCTTGTAAATTATCTTCTGCATCTGTTAAAACATCTACATTAGCATCTAAAATACATACATTTATACAGTGACGAATCTACGGGGATTAGGGGTGTGTATTCCCTCCCCAACCAAAATCTATGTCTTTTAAAATGTTTGAAATTAAAAATTTAATATATATATATATATATATATATATATATATATATATATATATATATATATATATATATATATATATATATATATATATATATATTTTTTTATATTTATATTGTGTCAATAAGAATTTTACAAAAACACAGGTAAATGCAAATAGTGATTCACTAATAAAATGCAATGACCTAAATAAGATAAAGAAAAGACCAATAATAATAATAATAATAATAATAATAATAATAACAACAATAATAACAACAGTAATAAAAATATTCATTATGATTAAAATATAGTAATAATAACAACAATAGTGATAAAGAGAATACTATTGAAACATTTCAGTTTAAAATGATAAATTTAATAAATGATATTAAAATTAGTAATATACCACAATAGAAAAGAGGAAAAATAACTGATGAATAGAAGCTCCGCGTTAGGGTTATAAACAATAAGTTGTAAAAAGATATAAAGATTTATAAACAATATTTTTCTAAAAATTGGTTGAAGAGAGCAGTTTTAAATTTTGAGAATTATTTAAAAGATTTTATTAGGGAAGGGAGATTGTTCCAGGTTTGTATGCTTTTATGTTGTATGGATTCGTAGCCGTAAGATTTTACTAACATTTAAAACAATTTAATCTTTAATATTCTTAACTACATAATGAATTTGATTTGTTTAAATCTAGGTCATGGAGTAGTATCGACAAAAACAATTAAGAAAGGAGACTTTCTTCTAGAATATGCAGGTGAGTGGCAAAACCTTTAGACTAAAGGTTTTATCACTTAACTAAAATTTAGTAAAAATCCTATTACATTTTTAACTTTTTTTTTATTTTTTGTAAAAAAACCTCAACGAAGTTTTTTTTAATAAAATGCATGAAATAAAAATATCTTTACACAGTTATTTTTTTTAATTACTTAAAGAAAAATAAATTCTAAGAAAAACAAAATTGGTTGTTTATTTTATTACAATATAATTGGGAGCAATGGAAAATTTTGATCATTTTTTTTTTTTAATGTGTACTTAAATGTATAGTACTAATTTTTGTTTACTTTTTGTTGGCTATATCACATCATAATTGATTATTTAGTACTGATGCTACTTATTCAACTCAAGCTGGAAGATAAAAACATTCAACTGTATTAATATAGCATTCATTAATAAATTTGACAACACTATAAAATCCTAACCAATTTTAATTAAAAATTTTGGTTTCTTTAAGGTATGTCAACGATTCGCCATTTAAATATGCAAATACAGTGATGAAACGTTATGTTTTGAATCAATCATCATACTTAGCTTTATTTGCAATTAAAGCCATAAATATAAACACAGAAATAAGGTCAGTAGTTTTTAAAAGCTAGTACAACAACTAGTAAAACAGTTACTACACTTCAAGTTTATTAGTATTTTTGTTTCATGATTTAATAGTTATGCACCCTAACCTAACTAAAAACATGCTAAATAGATTGCGATGAGACAAGAACCTACTTATACGTAATTTATGTTTAAAAAAGCATATTTTAGGTTGTGGATATATGCAGATTTTTTTATTAATGTTAAAATAATGTTGCATTAAAAGTTATAAATTTTATGTCTAAGTTAAGTTACAAGTTAACTTGGTTGTTTTTGAACAAAAATACTTTTATATAGGTATGATTATGAAGATGATCCTAAGAAAATGCCGTGGCGTAATAATGCATGAATTATTTTGTAAATAAAGTAATTGTTATTAATTATATGAATTTGTTCCACTTAAATCAATATTGTTTTTAAATTAACTTTAATGTTTTTGAATAAAAAATAATGATCATTATATTGACTGTCATAATTATAATAACAATTTTGATTTAAATTAATGTTGTTTTAACTAATAATGTTTGTTTATATTTGACTTTATAATAGACATAAAAATGTCTTAGTATTTAATTTATTTAAAAGTAATACTAAGCATAGTTTACCAGTTAGCTTTTTTTTTTTTTTTTTTTTTTACATTTGTATGTATTTCTTTTTGTATGTATTTATTTTCTGATATATATCACGGTTTGTAAATTTGGGACCCTAATATCAATGAAATACCCTATGAAAACCCTTTTAAGGGAGGATAGTACATAACAATGGATGGCCATACAGAGTGATTTTGAAATCCTGCATTAACATCCAATGGAGATTTTTTACCTTGAAGTTTTGAAGAAAATAAGAATTTTAAGCAACATTTGGCAGCCTATTTGTAGTACAAAAATACATTTCTGATTTTTTATCAGAAAACAAAAAATGTTAAAAACATAAATTGGGAGCTTTTTTATTTTATTCATTTATTTTCTTAATGATCGCATTTAGAAGATAAACACCAATTTCTATAATTCCATTTAAAATTATAATGCTCTCTAGAGACGAATCATCTGGAACAAAATAAAGGCACTAAAATATCACAAATCTGTTAAGAGTATTCTTAGGATTTTTTTAACACTGTTCTTTAGATCTAGATTTTCTTGCTGTTGTATTCGATCACACACTTCAGGAGTTGGCTGGCATAGTCTGGATGTGA